TTTTTTAAATACGATCCTATTTTTATCGATTACTTATTATACGTTATATTTTTTTAACTGAAACTTTTAGTTATTCGTATTTGCCAATTATTTGTTCCTAATATAAGTTTTTGATCGTCAACGAATGAATTATAATTAACACATCGGTGAAATAAAACGTGTATACAATATTTTTCTATGTCCTTGACACACAACCGATTCGCGATAAATATATATATATATATTTTTTTTTATTATTCTCTTACTTTTTTTATTATATATATATATATAACCCATATTTTTCTTTTTGTATAATTTTATTACGCGTTCTATCTCGAGTAGATTAATTAATTAATTAATTCTTTTAGAATTACGGATATCCGCAATAAGTTTTTTATTTCGATCAAAGTTTCTATATTATAAAAATAAAAAGAATATTTTCTTTTTGTATGAATAAAAAAGATATCATAAATAATATTAATGTTGAAATTTTAATACTAACACGATAAATATAATTCTTTATTTTTATAATTGTATATATTGCAAATAAAGATAATAGAAAATGTTTCTCGAACGTAAGATCAGATATTGAAATAATCTTAAAATATAATTTAATAAGAAAAAATTAGAGTAATTTTGATATTGAATATTGTGACTTTTAGTTATAAGAAAAAAAAAAAAAAGGAAAAAAAAGGAAAAATACTTACACTTTCGGGACCAACTCGTATCTCATCTTTTCGAGATTAGGATCCAGGGCAAGGGTGGCTCTTGCTACAGGCTGAATGGCCTCGAAATCCCAAGCGAATTCAACGTCGGGTGGTGGTGCTCTCGTGAAATTACGACGTTCCTTAAATTTACAATATCATCTTCTTATTCCTTCATTTAACAAAAGTTATAACCAAAGTTAACACGCAAAACAAACCATTTTTAAATATTTGTTCTCTTTGCTTATTCGTTATTAAGTGTAACTTTTGTAAACTAACGAGTATAATTGAAATTTAAAATAAGACTTTGTTTCTACTTTCAGTTATTATCAAAGAAAACTTTTATCCAACGAATTATACTAATTATTTATATGTGTTTTGTGTATATATATATATATTTAAATTTAATGGGTAAAACATTGAAATTCCTTACGAATTTATTAGAAAAGTATTTAGAACAAAGTTTAAACTATATTTGATAAGAAGATACATTTAAATTATAATTATTTTTCTTCAAGATAATTTCTTTCAACAATTATCACAAGTTAATTATTATTGTTTGTTTTAAATGAAATCATATACTTATTGTAACGCGTTATTTGATCCAACTCGTAATTCTTTATAAAAATATATATCGATGGTATTTTAATACTATGAAGAAATATTTATACGTGTTCATTAAAATGTAATTTGAGATTAATAACGAGAAAGTGAGAATATACAGGGTGGTGTTCTTAGAACGAGTGAGAAATATTTCTAATGATTAAACAACCACTCTTAAAATATTTTCCATTTATTTCAACACACACCCTGTATATATTTCTAGTAAAAATAGATTCCCTTATATACATATATATATATATGTACACTGCACTTTATACAACGTTAATGTTGTGACGTTTACGAGCGTGCACATCCATGAGAAACTTTTAGCCCCTTACGAAAGGCAACCCATTTATACATAAATGTAATAAAGAGAAGTTTCTCTAAGGGTAGATAAAAAAGTTGTCCTTTTTACCGACAGATAACACATGAGTGCGATATTATCGATCCGTACAAAATGTTGCCTACATTTAGGCGCAATCGTATCACTATTCTAATTATTATTATATTTTTTTTTAAAAAAACAATACTTTTATATAAATGTTTCGCAAAATATAAACGATTAATAAATGTTTAAAAATAAAATAAGAATAAATGTGAGGAAGGAAAAAGAAATAAACGAGTGAGATGAATGTATGGTGTTCTTACGAACCAAAGTAGAAATATAACAAAAAAAATTGGGAATATAATTTTTCTTTAATAAAAACTTCGACTGATTATTTAAAAACGAAAAAAAAAAAAGGAAAAATATTAATAAAATACTAACCGTAGAAAGAGATAAACATTCTTCGCGTAATACGTCCTCGTTTGGTGCTCCAACCCATGGTGCAACTGCTTCACCTTTTCCATTTTGCTTACTCGCGATGAAAGCCTCTTGTTCTTTATTTAATTCGGCAATCAGTCTCTGAAAAATGTAATTAATTAATAGTAAGCGTCATCTTCAAAAAAAAAACACACACACACACACAATGAGATAAAATATAAAATAGAAATATTTTAAAAGAAAAAATGATAATAACAAAAGTTACTCGTTACTAGTATTCAATTAGTTCAATTTAAAGGTGAGGGGGAGGGGGGGATATTTTATATCGAAAAAATTTCGTCTATTCGATATTTCGATATAATCGAACCGTAATCTGAAATATAAGGAAAAAAAAAAATGTATTAAATTATTGGAAATTAATATTAAACTTAAGATTTTATAATTAAAATATGAAACTCGTTATTTTGTTTAAACTTTTATTATAATTCGTAAATTATACTATTGCAATAATATATTATCGTGCGAAAGATAATTTACTTTTATTCTTTATTTTTTTTTTTTTTTTTTCGTAAAACTGTTTAATGCTGAATTAAAATTCGCCTCGGGCACAAAAGTAGTATATGATATTGTAGTTGAAGTAATTTATAATTCATTTTTTCATACGCAATTTTTTTTTATCTCTATTTTTCTCATTCATCGTGTTGGCAAAGTATAATTTCATTTTATTATATAGAATATTTTTTGTTATATTTCGTATATATATATATTTTAAGTAACTTGAATTTTAAACAAAATTTCTATGGATTTGTTAATTTATCGTTTTATTCGAAATTGAAACATTTTAATTTATTATATATTTTTATATAGTACCATATAAATATTTAGTAAACTGAATGATATAAAAAAAAAGTCAAATTAAGAAGGAAAAAAAAATGAGTACAATCATTTATATTCTATTTTAATTATGTATTTTAAAAATGTATTTTAATTAACAAAAAAAATAAGAGCAAATCAATCCGATTCAATTTTGTACGAAAATAATTAAAACATGATTTTATTTCTTTCAATATCTTTTTTCTTTTTTTTTCTTTTTCTATATACCACTTTGATTATTAATATAACTTACTTCTTAAAATATAAGATATTACGGTTATAAATAATTAATTACCGTTATAATTAGTGTCTTCATCTTATATAGGATTAGGTGGATAAAATAAATCTTATAAAAGAGATAAAAAGATTTATATAGATGAAAAGATAAAACACGAAAGTAGTTGTGTAAAAGAGATGAAAAGCGAATAAGAAGATCGAGCAAGTGTATTCGTATTACGATGATTGAAATCAGGTCAACGAAGTTTTCGTCGAGCTTGCAGCAGGGAACTGCATTACCAAGAGTTATGAAGGTTTATACTTTATTTTCAAGATACTTCTTCTTCTTTTGCTTTTTTCTTACTTCCCTTTTACTATGTTTTCATCGTTAAGGTAAAGCTTATTGTTTCAAAAGAAGAAGAGAAGAAAAGAGAAGATAAAATTTCGTTTGTATGCAAATTCAAGTATTCATTAATATTTTGATTATATTTTTTTGTCTATAATGTTAATCCCCAAGATTATTTATTAATAATACAATTGTTAATTTGTAACAATCAATATTTCATCGAATTTATCGAAATTCTTCTCTTAGATCACGCAAAACTTCAACTACGTGTAGTTGAATTAAAGTTGTTGAACAATTCATTTCTAATTTGCTTTGATTAAATAGCTTTTCTAATAGTATAGAGACTTATTTATCGAATGTATTTTGATTTTATTTTGATTGTCTTAAACTTTAAACCTAAATATTCCACATACGAATTCCAATTCATTTCAAAAAGGATTTCTCTTTCGAATTAAAAATTAATTACTTTCTTGTCCTATACTTTAACTTGTCTTATATATTTAAATTGTTTTTTTTGTCATATATCATATTTAGAATTAATCATACGAATACGAATTAGGTGTACATTTTTCTTCTAATTTATATTAAATTTGATTACTCTAATAATAATAATAATAATAATATGTTCTTTTGCAATGAAATTTATTTCAAAAGTATGAAAGAAATTTTGTTTTTCTTTTCAAATACACTTGAAAGGTATTTATTAAAATTATTAAATACTAATATACAAATTGTTCATATTTATAAGATATATAATATAAAGAATATATAAGAAATAATATAAAAAGTAAAAATAATATATAAGAAATAAAATAATATAATAATATATACAAATAATATAATAATAAATTAAAAATAATATAAAAGAAAAATAATAATTAATCATCAAAGGGGTTGTTTTATCTGTGAAAATAAAAAAAAAACCATGAAAGAAGAGATTGCACAACCGAGAAAAGGGGTTGGTTGTTCCAATATTGCGGTCACGGTTTGGTTCATACGAGAAAACGTGTTTTGGAATTCGATCAATGTCAGCAGTCAAAGACTTCTTTGCCAACGAAAATTACAGTGGGTTGTCACGAGAATAAGCTTTTAAGTAGAATGAAAAGAAACGATTGTAGAGTAAAAAAGGGACGAAAAGGGGAGTTGAGTAGGTGGTAGGAGGGGGGGGGGGCGGAGCGGTGAGTGATGTAAGAACTAAGGAAAAAGAGAAAAGGTTTTAAAGAAATGTTAGCAGTAAAAATTTGTTAGAAATTAATAGGACACTAAAGGATAGTCAACTTTTACAGAAAATGGAAAACCCATTTCGATGTTGTTGAATGTTACGTAATTACAACCAACAAATCCTTTTTTAAATAAATATATTTTGTCGTATAAATTATCTTACTTTTCTTTCTTATTATTTTCTTTATTTATTTTCTCAACAAAGAGGAGGAGGAGGAGGAAGTGGAAGAGGAAGGGATTCTTTTCAGGAGGATAAAACAAATTAAAAAGAACATTGTGAAAAGTAAGAGAGAAAGAAAAAGTGAACATAATAAATGGAGAAAGAGAGAAAAATAACCGAAGTAGTCAAGTAGTTTGTCGTCGTCGTCGTTGTCAGCGAACTCATTTAGAATTTGAAACCCCCATACTAACGTTTCGTTCTAAATTTTCTTGGTTTTCCTGTTTAAAAAAACATTTGCCCAGATATAAATTAACCATCATTTTTAAAGAGGAGAAGGAGGGGGGGGGAGTTGTGCTGAAAATATTAATTCGCGTTTACACCATTGTGATCGTTGTAAATTTAAAACGAAAGAGAGAGAGAGAGAGAGAGAAAGAAAGGGGATGATAAATTAATTCGTATTATATTATTGATTTTTTAATCGTCGTTTTTTTTTTTATTTTCCCTATACGAGATTTCTGATATTACTCTATCTAAGAAAACCATAACCACCACCAACCGTACAACCCMCCTCACTTCTTTTCACGTTTGCTTAAATTAAATATATAATTATATAATAATTAATTTATAGTTTTTTTTGTTTTTTTTTTACAAAACCTTTTACTTCAATTGGTAAAAAACACAAACGAGTTAATATATTTGTATTTCTTATTTATAGATGYATGAGAGAAACAAGATGAAAATATAGTGGCAAGGGGAAAGGATTAAAATCAATGAGAGGAAGAAGAAAGATAAAAAGAAAAAAAAAAAGACAGGGGGGAAAAGAAATAGGGGGAGAAGATGATAAAAACTCAATCGATAAGGAAGAAAGAAAATAATAATAAAAAGAAAGAGAGAGAGATATTTTCCAAGGATCGTATCCGAATGAAGGTGGCCTATTGATCCATGAAGAGAGTGCCAAAGAGATGCTGGAGATTCGTCCTTGACGTAATATCCGTCATTGCTGGAAAGAAAAGCTCCATTTACGATTTTCCTCTACCCCTTCATCTTCATCTTCTTCTTCTTCTTCTTCTTCTACCTTTTCTACCTTCTCATCCCTTTTTTCTCCTTCTTTTTCTTCTCTTCTTTTTTTTTTCCTTTTATTTTTCCAAGGCAACCACCAAAGTACTTTTTTTATTTTTTTCTTCTTATTCTTCTTCTTCTTCTTCTTCTTTATCTCTTCTACACTTTCTGTTACTCTCTATCTTGGAAAAATTTTTCATTCCTTCGTTTAAACTTTCTTCTATCTTCTACGTTTGATAAAACTCTTCCTTGTCTTCTACTATTTTCTAAAAATTTTCTTTCAACAAATGTGAATAATAATATTTCTTCTCTTCTGAATTTGTATTCCCTTATATATATAT